CTGACTCGTTTCCATTGGATTTTGGGCGCAAACGATAGTTTGAGGGTAGGGCTAAAACGGGTATTGAATGATTTTGGGAGAGAGTGAGGAGGATATGAGGTTTTGGTGAAGAGGGCAGACATGGTAGCCATTGGTGGAGAGAAGCAGGGCACTCGATTTGCTCTCTCTCTCCAAGTTTGATTTCTGAGAGGGCAGTTGATAAATGAAGCAGACGTGGGTACTTTGGAAAACTACTAGTAAAATATGAGAAAGAAATGCTTGGAAAGTGTAAGCCTGATGGTGCAGATTTGGCTTGGAGTAGGAGGCAACGAGAGACATTGCATTTATATAGGACTTGGAGAATTGGGAGGATGAACCTGGACACAGTTTTCAGTTTCCTTTTTCTCTGTTTTGTATTTAATAATTATTAATCTGGCCCGCCTTTATTATTGAATTCAGCCTGCACTGTGTATCAATCTGATAACATTAGAATCCAGCTGGGATCGAATTTTATTTTCATCTGGTTTGGAAATTACCCTTTTTAAACTTTAATTGATCTGATCAAATAATTGTTAAATCCATGGATTTTTTAAAAAACAATTATTCAATACAAGGTTGTTCCTTTAATTGATTCAATAAATCCATGACTCTAATATTTATAGTTTTATTATGATATTAAAAATTATTTTTCATCAAAATTTAAATTTATTTTTTATTTTAAATAATTTTTTATATTTTTTTAATATACTTACATCAAGAATAAATTTTAAAAAATTAAAAAAAATATATTATCAAATAAAAATCTTTTTAAAAATTAATTCTACCAAATATTACACACAAACCAAACCTGCCCTACCCTGTAAAGTGACAGAGTACGATTTTTCTAGTACGAGGACCCTACATGTTCTAATGTTTCATGTGCGATTTTGAAATTTCAATGATGTCGGGAAAAATCGACAATAAAACTAACAATCCAACCCAAAAGATGTGATCTCGCACTCTGTAGAATTTGTTGCCTCCAATTTTATCTGGTCCATGATCCAAACAGGTCATATGTAGGATTGGATTTGGTCACATGGTCGGTCATCGTTTTTCAAATGCTCATCCATCAAATTTGATGGCTGAAGGTCCGAGCATGCCTTTTAGCTGTCTTTAATTGCATGATTTAAACATGTAGGATTATTTAATTATAATTTTAAAATTTGATTCACTTGATTGAAATATATATATATATATATATATATTTGAAGGTCTTGTTCAGTGGATAACTCCAAGACTTGCTTTGCAATTATTCCAAGTTAGATTTTCTTCATGTACTAATATGTCACCCCCGTGATGTTTTATCTATTTATTAAACTTGTAAAATGTTCAGTGAATCTAAAAATTAATTATTTGAAAGTCTAGCTTAGTGATTAACTACAAGGCTTACTTTGCGACTGTTCCAAATTCGATTCTCTTTGTGCATTAACCTGTCACCTCCACGGTGTCTTACCTGTTTACTGGGTTTTCAGGATGTTTAGTAGGTTCAGAGATCAGTTGTGATATGTGTAAACTGACTTGGACTATTTAGTGGGCCCAGAGATTAGTTGTGATATGTGTAAACTGACTTGGACACCCTGAATTATTCAAAAAAAAATCTAGAACCTAATTGATCTGAAACTACAATCAAACCAAGTTTAAAAAAAAAATCAATGTGATCTAATTGTCCCGACAATTAACCTAATTAATCTATAATTTGTTAACTTTTATTTTTTACTAAAATATTTTTATTTTTATTTAAAAAAATTAATCTAAACTACCTAGTAACCCAGTGAAACCTCAAATCCAAATCTTAAACCCACCTACTATGCGGGGGTAAAACTATGGATTTAATACTGCACCGAACGCTTTCGCCGAGAAAATGAATGAATTGGCAATTGTTTAAGACATTATTGATGGTTTTTTAAAATTTGTCAAGGAAATTATATACATGTACGACCCGTAATCACGTTGGTTTCGGAAAGGCATAAATGCTTGTTAGTTAGCTCAATTAATATGACTTTATTTTTTTAAATTACTTCTTCTTCTTTTCTTTTCTTTTTTTATAATTTAGTGACCGTGAGGACTTGCTATTGAGGGGGATGGGTACGATGACTCAATTACCTGATGTCTGAGTTTTGTAGTCAGAAATCCCAGTACTTCCTCGCAATTAAAAAGAAATTACTGCGATGAATTGTTTCGACTTGACAAAACAAGGTTAATTTTTCGTGCTGGTGTTGTTATGACATTGAAATCAAAGATAATCGTTACTGTGTTTCAGGGAATGTTTTTAGGATATACATTTATCTGCAATATGCGGTAAATGAACTAATTTTTTAAAATATTTAAAGCGTGAATAATTTTTTTAATATTGTTATTAAATTTGGTTTAATGATGAATCGTAAAATCTTAAAATCTGTTTGTCTAATTCTAATTTTCAATTAAATTAAATAATTTTATAGGTATAAATATAATTGTAATGACTAATAAAAATATGATTTAATTTAAAAAAAATTAAAATGATGATTTAAAAATATTTGCTAAAACAATAATAAATTAGATCAATTTTAGTTTTCCAATGATCCATACCATAGACTCTATTGAATTTAATAAAAAAAAATATAAACTATTTTTATAATTATATAATATATAATTACAAAATTAAACATCAGTCTATATAAATAATTACTACATGGAATAAAAATAATAATAATAATAATTTATTATAAATAATATTATTAAAAATAATTAAAAAATTAAAATAACAAAAATATATCTAATCAGTTGATTAACTTACCAAATCCATAAACCTAAGGTAAGACTGTTTTTTAATAAGCAAAAAAAAATTATTGAGAAATGAAATACAAACTCAAAAACCATTTTACAAAATATGAAAAAAAATCTAAATTAAAAAAAATAAAAACTATTAAAAGAGAGAGAGAGCCAACACGGTACGAAAAACAAAAGGTAATATTTTTTTGACGGTGATGACGGCTTCTATACTGAATTCTGCCTATTTTACAGCCAGATTCAGAGGCAAGGATGAAGAGGCCAAGTTTTCTTGGGAGTCCCATTATTATTTCCGAAAAGGTAATGGCTTACGTCAGAACCACAATTGCCATTTATTGTTTGGAAATTTTTGAAAGGGCATTAATGTTTCTTTCTTTTTTTTAATTCCCTTTCCTTGATGAAATAGACGCGTCTAAAAATCTAATTCATATTTACCACAAAAGCACAAGAAGATATGTATTATTATAAAACCTATAATTGTATATATTGAATATATATTGGAATTTTTAAAATTTTATGTTTTTTGGGTTAAGTTTTTTCATTTTTTATGACACTTGGGGTTTTTCAATGTTTTTAATGTTTTTTTTGGTTATAAATAGATTATTTATCTTATATTTTAAATATTGGGAACAATATATAAAAAAATTAATGAACTTCTCTTTGAGCTTTTATTCTAAATATGTATATTCTAACTTAATCTTTATTTTGTTAACATATATCAATCTGCATGATTACTTCATTTAATTCGAAATCTTTGTATATATAAATTTCTATTTTACATGACTTGTATTAATTTTAATATTTTTTCTCTTCATTATTGTTCATATTTTAGAAAATATATTTGACTCTATAACTTATTTTGATAAAAAAAAATTTCTTTTTATTTATCAAAATTTAAAGTTCTTGAAAAACTAGTATTGTAAGTTTACGAAGAATTAAAGAAATTAAATATAGCTCTTGAATAAATAGTATTTCAAAATAATTGAATAATAGTATTAAAAGGTTAATTTTTTCTTCTTTTATATTCATAATTTTATTTAATAAGTTGTTTCTTTTTTTATAGATAATATCAAAACTGACAAAACTTGAATTTATCACTCTTAATATATCTAGAAATAACTATTTTTCATGGATCCTTACTCTAAAATTCATCTGGAAGCTATGAATCTTGGAAAGATCATCTACGCAAAAGTAATGATTTTTGTTCACTATCATTTCAATGGAAAGCTATGAATCTTGAAAAGACCATCTACGCAAAAGCAATGATTTTTGTTCACTATCATTTCAATGAATGATTAAAAGTCGAATACCTCACAATAAAATATATTCTTGTTTTGTGATAAAATCTAAAAAGAATATATAATCACCAAAAGTTTACCACTTTCTTATGCTCTTTATAACTGATTTCACTAAAGTTATGAAATTTTAAATCGGTTAGTGAATATAACTCTGTTATTTTTGAAATTAACTCACAATTAAAATTGTGTGATGAAAATATTAGAGAAGAAATTCTCTACTTTTCATGCTTCAAATATTATCCTGCAATAACAATATAAACAATGTAATTTCAAGAGGTATTCGGAACTAATTTTATATCTTCTTATGATTGAACAAAATCATGAATTTTTGATGAAAAATCATTAATTTCATTTCACAAGTTCTAGATTATTTTCTAAAATGAATCCTCAAGGAAATGAACCTTTGCCCAAAAGACAAGAAAAAACTAGGGTATACATGTAGAAGAAATAAATGAAAAAAAAGAAGAAATAATCATTCAAAGGACAATATCTCGTACCACTACAAGTAGAGACATAATGTATGCCAAACATAGATAAAATAAAAAAATAAAAAAGATGTAACGACATTGAAGCCAAAGTATCAATAATAGCCACTAAATTGTATTTGTAAACAATACTTAAAAATACTAGTAAATAAAGTTATCCAAAATAATCAACTTTATGAAAAAATACTAAAGAAATTTTAGAAACAATAACAATAGCCGAGATACTTAAAAAAAAAAAGGAAATTTTAAAATGTAATGATAATCCTTCTAGTTTGGAAAAGAAAACTATACCATGTTTAATAAGAGGCGGAGTTAGAAATTTTAGTTTGGGAGTGTCTAATTAAAGAAAAAAATCCAGGAGGGATAAAATTTAAGATTTTTTTATTTGTAAGTTTAAAAATCTAATTTGTTAAAGGAGGCGACCGAAAAAACAAAAATTCCTAAGAATGATCCGGGTCCTTGCCATCCTCCTAATTTCGTCCCGTGCTTGCAAAAGTCCGGAGTTGGGAGACTTGTGATCCTCTTTTTATGATTATTTATGCTTCTTGTGACGGAAGTCGTGAATTAGTTTCGCAGCTTTGTGGAGATCCAGGGTTGCCTACTGTCACTGAAATTATTCGGACTGCATCTTCAGGTAATATTTTGATTATTCTGCACAATCATGCTAGCCTTCAAGTATTCTATCCTCTATCACTTTTTATTTCTATTGTGTTTATGATTATTTTATGTTGTTGTTTTACCAGTTGGTTTTGGAGAAGATTGGCTGAAGTTGCTTCTCTTGAGGATTTGTTTAGATGATGTTCGCCTTCCCTCGACTCTTGTCAAGATTATATGGTGTGGGTAGTAATTGTGATAATGGAGAAGAAATTAGTTTAAGTGGCAATCCATTTTTGACTGAACAAGCATATCTTTGAATGTTGTGTCAGAGATTTTGAATGAGCGACTGAAGGAGATTACCATCCTTTTGCTTTGTGCATTTTTGGAATATTCAAGAAATCAGTTGAAGCCATTGAGTTTGGTTCAAGAGGTGAATCTGGGCTTCCGACAGGATCTGCAGTGATTGATGTCCTTGGTTTCTCACTCGCCATGTTAAGAGATATAGGTGCTACCAAAGGTGGAGTTGGCATAGACGAGGATTTGATTGATGTTGTTGATACACTTTTTTCATCTGGACGTCTTTATTTGTCTTATGCCTGCTTCGTGAACTAGGGCCTCCGGCAAAAATCAGGGAAGCCTTGAGGCAGGCTGATAACCAAGAAGCAACTACTTCATACTTCCCTAAATTGTGTCCATATAAAGGATTTCGGAGGGACTTTGTTGCTGTCACAGGCAATTGTGCTCATCAAAGAAAACATGTGCAAGATGACGTTAGGCAGGAGAATGGGATGCTTCTGATGTTACAACAGTGTGTTACAGATGAAAACAGCCCATTTTTAAGGAAGTGGGAGGAACCTATATAGGAAGGGAATTCAGAAAACCAACAGGCAGTCGCTGAATTGGAGCTTCAAGGGTCAGTTGATATGCCTGAACTAGCTGGACTTGGTCTCAGAGTGGAGATGGATCAAAACACTAGGCGTGCAAAGCTTTGTTAATATCTCATGATGATGCTGGCTTGGTTAATTAAATCAACTCTTTTGACCAGGGTAAATAAAGTTTCGTATAACAAAACCATTTGCGATTGTCACTCTTGCCTTACCTGCTGCTACCTCTGACTGACGAAGTAGTCCCACTTCACGAAAAGAAAGTAGGATCTGAGATTGTGGAGTGAAGATATAAAAGCTGCATGTGCATCGGAGAAACCAATGTGTAGGCTTATTCCGTGTCCCACTGAATTAGGGCCTATGCTGTCAACAGAAGGGTCTTCTTACCTGGTTGCCGGTTATCACTCCCCTTAAACAGGCCATTTCTGCTTCTCACGAAACGTACGAGGACGTTGCCCGCTCATACTGCTCCCAGCCACTAGCAGCGTCTCATTTTCCCGAAAGCCAGTCATACCATTCCACTCTAGCTAAGCTAATGATGAAAGAGGATATGGATTTGTCTGCACTGTAGATGGTGTTTTCAAAATGCTATTAATTCAGTAAGTGATACATCAGCTTATATTATTTTCTAGAATATGGTTAAAGAGAAATGACAAAACTTGGTATAATATCCTTTGGGCTACAAATTGCTGATTCAATTTTTTTACCGCTTAATGTAACTTCGATCACACACACACACACACACACATATATATATATAGAAACAAGTTCACTCAATCCTCAAATAAGATTTTTTTTTTTTTTACAAAGCCAAAACTCATAGAAGCCCTATTTACAAGTCGAATGCAGCACAATTAGAGGAGAATCAAACTAAAGTTTCCAGACCAGCAACTGGATCCATCTCAGCCAGCTCGTTCTTTTAATCCGAAATCTTTTTCACTCGAGCATTGATAGACTGACATTATTGATGGCAACTGGCAAGTCCTTGATTCCAGTGGGCGTGCCTCTTCCTCGATTGATAACTCTATTATACCTTCCTCTCTATACTCCAAACGTGTTTTGCATTCCCCACCCAACAGCGATGACCAGCCAAAGACGCATAGAGTGACAATATAATAATTCCAGGTTCCTATTTATTGTCAATTCAAGATCTCTATGGGATCATTTAGTGTCGAATCAAATATTAACTTATAAATTATAATAATTGGAGAACGTCAGCTACAAACACACTTTAATTGCACGCTATTTTAATCCCTGAAAGCTGAAATGGAAGAGACTACATATATTGGCGTAGTATTACTGTCTGAACTTAAGGTGAATAGCTCAACCTAAGTTATCGTTTTTTCTTTTAAGACAGAAGGGCCATAGACATGTGGGTGGGATCCACCAGCTTCAGCTTTTGAAGAGAGAGATGCGTTAGTGAGATTGTACTAGGGTTTAATGATGTGGCGACGTGGAATACGGGTTCTGTGATTGGTTAGTCGAAGAGGGATATTGCTGGGCTTGTTTTGAGCAGGCCAGTACCTCAAGAAATCAGGGGACAATCCCTTTAAACCATGGGCTCGGAAGAACCCATCTGTAATATTATGTGGAGCATAAAAAAAATCCTCGTTATGGCAATAGACTATACAAAATAGTGCAAATGGAAATAGACTGGACTTGACAGATACAAGATTGAGCTGCATAACATATGTTATTGTCTTGTATTTGACACACAGTTTAAAATTAAAAGAAGCCAGACCAAACACTTTTAAAAATGAAAAAGTAACTCTCAGAGTCCGAAAAATCCAACACATTCAGAACCCTCAGAGTCTTCTCTCTGTTCCTTCCACTCCCACAGGCAATGCTGCTCCAAATTCCTTATTGCTGGTTGTTTCAGTATTATAATTTATAACTTGATGTTTTCAACCAAGAAGATAGATAATAAATAAATAAATGCCAAAGGGTATGAGAACCCGAATGTGTTCCATATTGAGCTTTTCTTTTCGCACGAGACACCGACGACCTCACCCTTGTGTGAAAAGTTTGGTGGTGCGTGCCTGGAATCTCAATCATGGCAAAAAGGTGGCCTGGATAAGTAATTGTCAGTGCTATTTCTTATCATTTTGAAAGTGTCTTGAACATTCGTTTGATTGGTGACGAATATGGTCTGTTAACTCTTAATCTATATGCGTGCGTGCGTGTTCAAATATGGCGCCTAGATTGAACTAAAGGAGAAAAAAGGAAAAACAGGGTAGGAAATGGAGATGAAGTTTCAATGAGAAAATGTTTGTGATAATGTGCACATGTACACGCGTATTTGGACTCGAGAGATGCATAAAAATAAATATAACGGATCCATCGAAAGACAAAGTTTAAGGTGTGGCGCGCACAGGAAAAGCAAGAAAGCTCAACTTTTGCAATCTCCAATAAAATCATAAAGTGAAAGTGAAACCCTTTCCTTTCAAGCTTCATTCATGCAGCGGGCAAAGCAAAGCCATCGTCTTACGAAAATCATGTGATCATTTTTTTTCTAACCTTCATGATTGGATAAACCGATGTGAAAAGGCATTTTTCTCTGGCATTATCTGCTGAGTATCGCTTTCAAGAGGATCAAGATGCCATCAAAGCTGTTTTATGGATCTCAAAATATCAGATGGTCAAAGTTCAAAAGCAAGTACTTAGCCCATATCACTGTACGGGATAATGTTTGGAGGTGGAGGATTACTTGGGCCCATCCACTAGCCCATAGAATTTGGGAGGTTTTGTGGGGCCCAACAAGACAAAAACAAGACAAGGGAATGGATATTTAAAGAGAAATAAAGTAAATATTCTTAAGAAATCCTTTTTCTTCATCGGACGGAAGTGCCCTTATATTTCAAAATCCATTGGTTATTCCATCTAGTCAGACCACGGAGTCGAGAATATTTAAAGATTATTTTAATCGGAGATGAACCGAGCCCTACCCCTACAAGCTACGCTTCAAAAGCGTGATGGCAACAAGGTTAAATTCTCAACGAAAAAAATATCGACGTGTGAAAATTTTAAATTTGATTACAACGGATAACTGGATGCAGATCCATGTTTACGAGTGCCTGTGTCGTGAAGGATTTTCTCTCCCAGAATCCAAAACGCTTGCGATTGTTAAATCAGAATCACCGGCGCACCACACGCAGCGGTGGGTTGATATTAAAAAAAAAATCGAAGTGCTCTTATTGTTCCAAAAGACATGTGTGCATGAAATTGTTCCCCTCATCGGCCGGGAGAAGGATCGTAATTCGGGACGGTTTGTTCTTATTATGCTCCCTGTTCACTGAGCTTTTTTTCTAACTTTATAGCCCTGACATGAAGGGGAAGAATCTAAAAGACTCCTGGTGTTTCACGGCTTCAAGATTAAGTTGAATAGTAAATGTAAATGTGAAGTAACATTTCCATCTAGAAATTTAACTGGTTAGATGAATTTTTAAGATTTGATATGCATTATTTATTGTTAATTGTAAGCTTTCTAAATTTAAAATTTATAGATAATTATATTATATTGTGTTCTTAATTAATTTTAATTAAAAATAAATATTGAATTTTGTGTTTTAAGTTTATAACTATTTAATCATCATAGCTATAGTTTTAATGTTATATTAAAAAAATTGTATAAATTAATTTTTTAAGGTATTCAATGGTTTATACTAGCCATTTAATACGCGGCAAAGCATGGGTTGTAAATTTTTTTATTAAAAAAATATTAGGTATGTAGGTTTTTTAAATGTGTTTTTTACATAAAAACTCAAAGTGTAAATTGAAAAGCTTACGTAATCATCATCCAGATAAATAAATCAATAATTATTTATTTTAATAAATAAAAAGTCTTTAATAATAACCAAGAAAAAAATTACAAAAATAAAACATTAACCTGATTGTGTTTTATAAACTTATTTGTTTAAAAATATAAAAGATAGATTAACCGTAAAAAACTTAGAACTTAAATGACAAATACAAATAAAATTAAATAAATAAACTCATGTCATAAAAAATATTATGTAAAGTTGAATAAATCAATAAAATATAATGAATTGACATATGCAGATATGATGGAAAGATGTATAAAAAAAAGTGATGTGTGCATCGCCACTAATTGCCCAAACCTTATTTTTTATCATATCTTTAGAAGTGTTATCATATCTTTTTCCTCCTGGTGTGGTGCTTAATCATTGTTAATGAGTGGTTTATCGCCAATTATTATTTATTCTTTTCTTCCTTCTTCTTCTCTCTCTCTCTCTTTCTTGTCATCACTGCTATTGAAGAATAATATAGATTATATCATGAGATCTTACTTAACAATTTAAGATTTTGAATTGAATTTGTTCATTTATATGGTATCAAAATCTTAATGACCAAGCAGTCACAAGTTTAAATTCCACTATTTTTATTTATTGGATAAAAATTAAACACATGATATTATAACCATATATAAGTTTTAATATTAAAATAGGGTATATTAAAAAAAAATATTAATCATATATGAAGACATTATCAGTAAGTCTAAGCTATTGAACTTTTCTAACAACTTCATTAATTTGTAAAAAGACAAAAAGTATTCCTAGGAATAAACAAAAAAAACATGAAGAAATGACAATTAAGCTCTTGAAATCAAAGCCAGCAAATTTGAATGATAAGGATAATATAGTAATTTTATTATCCATCAAAAAATTGAAATCACTGCAAAGCCCTAAAGGTTATCGCTTTTTTACTTTTGAAGGTCCGTATAAAATTGTTAAAACACCCCCTATTAATTTGGATATAACAAATAAATCAATACTAGGAATAAAACATCTTTAAATGCATACATGATATTTTGTTATTTCCAAGAATAAATTGATGTTTTAATTGTAACCTAAGAAAAATACCACAATAACCCCATGTTCAAGGATTTGATTTTTTCATTCAAATGGAAAAAATGTAATTTTATTTTCTGGAAAAAGAAAATAATACCCCACCCTAAGCCTTTTAGGCTAGAAATTCTACTGTACAGCACAGACAACATTTCTAAGGATGCATTTTAAATGGTCGATGTTATCGTGATTTAAAGTGTTTTTGACATTAAAATGTATTAAAATAAAAATAAAAAAAATTTAATATTAAAATTTCAAAATAATATAAAAACATAAAAAAAATATATCTTAAGAAAATAAAATGAAAATTTAAAGGATACACTTACAGCGCGTACACAGTAGAAACACCATAGAGAACTTGTTAGTTATTATTTAACAGCCCACAAATTGAGAGCAAGCATTTAGATCTGCTCGTCGCATGAGCGACTAACTGAACAGATTAAGAATAAAACAACACGCATTCCAGTTATTGGCCTAGGAAAGGGTATGTCTTTTTTTACTATATCTGGATTCAAGATATGATATGTATATCTGTCATCTTTGCGGTGTCTTACATACCTACTAGATTTATAAAGTATTTAGTGGATCGTGAGGATTGGTCGTGTTAGGTGTAAGTTAACCCGAACACCTTATATAAATAAATAAAACAACACATTTCATCGTACCCATCAGCTATGTGGCTACATCCACCATCTTTCAGCTCTAGCTTTGACCCGGAGGA